TCAGCAGGAGAACAGAGCAGGAAACTATTTAAAACAAATGCAGAAATAAATTAACACACATTTCCTTTTCAGTTGTGAATATAAAGTGTGACTTACTCTTTTAGTTAGCTGGGTGTCCATCATGAAATTATGCACATGTTTTTCAGCTTTGGTAAGTTCTAACTTCCTTGCCACCACAGCTACCACCAGTGCAGTGCACCCAGCACCCTGAAAACAATAAAAAACCCCCCCCAAGATGTTACTACTGCATTTTGCAGAATTTTTAGTGGAAGTTTCTCCTTTGCTGTAGAAGTATGGCAGGCATCAGGTGATTCATCCCTGGTAAATATAGTGAACAGGCTACAGCTATTTCAGTTCGGAGTAATAGGAAAAGTCAGTAATTACAGGCTGGTAAACTGTCAAGGCATAAAAATAATTAGTGAGCAGCATCATTTAAAAGTTCTGCTTTTTTTTCTGCAGGGGTTGAAAATTTGAACACATCCCTTTTCTAGTGCATAAACAAAGGGGGTGATCAAAATAACTTTGAAAACCCAGAATATTAGTAAATAAATGCAGAATACCCTGTTCTTAACAATTATCTCAAGGTTACAGCAACTGCTAAAGAGTAAGTAAGATTAGATTAGTATTTAAATATAATAAAAGAAAAAATTCTTAGGATTTTCTGTAGGGCCTAAAAATAATCATTAATTTAGTATTTAATCACTTTAGTACACTTCCCTGTTGTTCTCTGAGTCCTTCAACAATCTTTTCCATAGTATTTCTGCTTATCTTATTACCATTTAAAATAGCATACATATACAAGACCATTTCTTCAAAACTTGGATGGAGAAAATACCAAATTTCTAATTTGTGCTGTGTATGCATATGCATGTATATACACAGACATGCATGTTCACAACAGGCCAAGGCCAGTAGGTGACTGTCCTTTGACATGACAGTGTCTTTATCAGCATGACAAAATTATTTTTTGGGGGGGAGGGGAAAGGAAAGGGAGCTAAAATGAGCCAGGTAATGAGAAGCAGCATCTATTATACACATCTAGAGGTACCATTTACTGTACACTATTAATAAATTCTGCTGCCTTAGTCTTTTTTTTTTTTTAACAAATATTTACAGGTTCTTTTTAACAAAGTACAAAAATCACATTAAATATACGAGGCTGTGTTTAACTTGCAGGTTCACCCCAATCTAGTTGTTATTGCCTCCATGTCAGTTACTCCCCAGTATAAAGCAATCTCCTATTGCACGTTGCAGCCTACCACAACTTCATTTGCAGAGCTTTCTTCCACTCTTTCTGTGTTTCTCCTATTGAATTAAATGTCTCCTATTTCTCCCAAGTTACTCTCTCTCCATTCCCCACCTCCATAACTGCCTTACTCTCTCCAGAAAATCCAGAAGAAATCTCTGAATCCAGCTTCCAAAAATACAAATTCCATTAATAAACACACAGAGACTGCAAAATAAATTAACTGGTTGGAAACCCCTGTTCACATAGTGTCCTCAGAAGAATGAATCTGCTCTCTCTGCTTACTTACTGAGGCACCCAATGAGTTTTGTGAAAGTCTCCAATTAATTAATTCTCCATTCCCATGGATTGTTCCAAGAACTCCATCTGCTCCCTCACAAACACCTGATTCTCTGCAATTAGTTCTCACCTATCAAAGCTTCTATCCCCAACAGCTCTCAGCATTCCCTTGAATAAATCTCTTGTAATTTTGCTGCATTTCCTGCTTCTCTCCTGTCCTCAATACTAAGCTTTGTATCTTTGCTGTTCTCTCTCCCTCTGTTCTCCAACCCCATGTCGATAGAAGTTCATGGAAATTTAATTGAAGTCTTGCTCTCTCAATGAGGTAAGTCAAAATGGGGCTGTAAGTTCCTTTGCTTCTCCAGGTCCCCCTAAGAGTTAAAAAGGAAAAAAGACAGTCAATGCAGCTTAAGGCTGAGCGCTTCAGAAATGCATCGAGCCTTCTGAGAAGATTAGGCAGGAGATGCTCTACCATATGCCCTACCTCCCCAGAAAATAGCTCTCCTTTGGTCTTCTTCCTGTGAATATGCTTCTGCTAATATGCAGAAGACTTCTCTGAGGGCAAATAAATAAATAAAACACCCCATAAAATAGCAAGAACAGGAAGAGAAAAGCAGACATGTTTTGGCCCAGTGTGTCAGGATAATAGACCAGATGTTGATTTAATGACATAACTTGAGTTCTGCCTCCTTACAGCAAGAATGCTAAGACAGGACAAGATTAGAAATACAGACACCACTAGCAAAGTGGGAGAAAACAGCTGTCTATGCCAAGTTAACAGGGGAGAGAAATATTAGATACCCCTTCCCAGCCCCCACCCCCCAAAAAAAAGGCTAGAGGAATGGTGGCAGACAAAAGGAATTTGGCTTTAGTTGAAATTCTTCCAGCCGTTGCGATTAACTCTCATGCTTCTTCAGAGAGACACAGTAGTTATAAGGGCCAAATGCTGTTAAAACCAGCAGCTTTGTATCTCACATGAAAGACACTGCCTGCAGGAGCAGAATATTGTCACCGACAAGCTATGACAACCATCTCTATGGTAAGCATGCACTGCTATCTTCCTTATCTCCAGAACAGCTTACTGAAACTGCAAGGTATTCTAGACGCAAGTTACCCCCCCTTGGCTCTGTGGGGTATGATGGTATATCAGTATAGCAAAATGAGCTCTTTTAGCATTTCTGCAAAAGCAGGAAGTATTTTATTATCTGCAAGTTTCCGTTTCTCAGTACCTCAAAGGAAAACAAATTACGTTCATTTTTTAAACAACAGCTCACAGAAATAAGATTGAAATTCCACTTAAAGTACATGATGCTAATTAATATTTTATGTTACAGTGCTCTGCACTATTATACGGCTCCCCTAAAGATCTCAGCGTCCTTAAAAATACTAATAAAGTGAGAATTATTCCAAATTGCAGAAAGTAAATAGATGCAATACAGTTACTTTAAAATGGTAGCATTGTAAGCATCATACTTGCCATCCTGATTCACATGAAAGTTAGTAACATGAATCCAATGAATTCATGCTCATATACTCAGGTTTTTTCTTATATCAATACCATGTAATGCAGCACCTACTTCTTTATTAAAATGACAGGCTAAGTAAAAGTACCACGATAATTATTTCAGTTGCAAGAAGGATTCCTGTGAGAGTAAAATTCTAAAAAGTCTTATATTTGATTACTGCACTTTATAATTTCCAACAACATTCTTTTTATACTGTTTTGAATTAAATAATAAACTAAATCACTGCTTTAAGCTCTTGCTTAAGTTTCAGGGGTATTATATATCATATAAAGGAAATGAAAAAGGCAGAAATGTATATCTTTTCAAGTATCAAGGCAGTAATTAATTCTACTTGGAATTTGCACTCCTCAGTTAGCCTCCTGTCCGCCTCTTGCATTACAGAATTATTGTAGTGTATTTTGGCTTGGTAAGCAGCCTGATTTTAAGGGCACTTAGGACTTTCAGGATGTCATAATTTGAAGAAAAAGGGAATGAAAGAATGAATATTCATAACATTCCCTCCTCAGTCCACTGCAGCTTTAGATATACACACACACATGCACACGCACACACACACACATATATATATATGTATATACATGAATGCCACCAACTACTACCCCACTGAACACTCCATTCAAGGTCCATACCTTCTCCTTCAGATCCTGTTGTGGTTCTACCAAGATCATGTATGAATATCCTTATTATATACTGAGATGCCTTTAGCAGTTTAATCACAGTCCTCTGTTGCTCTTCACTACTGCAGCCCACCCTGAGCTATCTGCTGTTATCATCAGAACCACCAGACCAAAGCTGACTAAAAGTTACCACAGAAAATTTTACATTATGGTAAACCACAGCAGACATAGCCATGACAGCTACAAGGAAAAAGCTGGTGCTGCCCAAAGTATCTGAGGAGGCTGAGGCTATGAAGTTTGGATCAAGACCGTGCCTTTCCTACTGCTCATAAGTGCTAAGATTGAGGGTTCACACTGGTCCAATACACAGTGATTGCAAAACTGCAGAGTTCGGGCTTCAATAAAGTCTAGCATTTGCATCTAACATTCTGGTAAGTGTCTAGTTCTAGTGATAACCAGAGAGAGGTGCTTGCAACTCTTCAACTAAAGGGTTATCTAAGGCAAAGAATGGGTAGCACTGGCTGGTAAACCGTACTGAAAACATCCTTCAGTCAGCAGAGAAACCCTGTACTCCTAAGCAAACGCCTCTGGCATTTCCACTTGGTTCTTTCTTTGGTAAGGTTCCAAAATACCTTTACAAGACAACAATTAATTGAGCCATTTCTGCAACCACCTGGAGGACATATATATATACCTGGAGAGTGCTCTTGGTTAGAAAGGAAGCAGCATTGTGTATCAATGTCTCAGCTGAAAGTCGCCTGGCAGCTTTCGTTTACTGCACTGAGAGCGAAGTGCAGTCTTTAGTGCTGTAGTTGTTGCAAAAATGTCCTGCTATACTTGCCTGCAGCTGAAAGAACGCAGTTGCCATATTTTTTGCTCATTTCCCTTGGGATCCACTGAGGGACAGAGAGAAGGTCCGCTTTGCAGACAAATGGTTCTGATGGGAAATTCAGCTCTGCATCAGAAAAAGGACACATTCCTCCTGCTGTTGTGCATAAAATGAAAATCCTGTAAGAATTTAAACAGGTACTCTGTTCATTTGGCTCTCTAGAAGTTGGGCTTACAGGACCACCAGGGAAGGGGGAAATAAAATTTTTTTAAAAGAACTTGCTTGAAGTAAAAAAAACCTCTCCAAAACAAGCAATGCAAAAGTTGAGGGAAGAATCCATCCACAAGACAGACAGGCTACAGAAATGGCATTGTATAAATGTGATTTTGCGTTTGTCATTGTTTACTGGGAAAGATGTGTAACCTTGCAATGCTGAAACAAAATAGGATGAGTAATAAATAGGACAACAGCTATGCCATCTCAGCCAAAAAGTGAACTAAAATAGTTTAGCATTATTTATACTTTCATACATTTAATATTTGCCTGGCTACTGTTGTCTTCAGTGGAGTTTGCATCACAGCTAGAATTTTATTGCAACATTTAAACTTCTATACGACAGCAGATGAGTAGATCCCTTTACTTCTAATTAGTCCATAAGGTTTTTAGCAATATTGCAAAAATAAAAATTATGAGGATCATTAAATGTCATA